AATATATTTTTTAAAAAAAAATAAAAAAAAGAAGAGAGAACGGGGTTTTGGGGTTGAGATTTTATTTGGTTTTTTAAAGGGCGAGAGTTCAGATGTAGCAATAACTTGGTTTTTCCCACTGAATGTTCTGAGCAGAGTTGTCCCTTGGTTACAATCTAAGGAGACAAAAAAAGTCCCAATAAAGAAAAGCAACTTCAAATATTGTTATATGACAAAATCTTCAGAGCTAATCTTGTGGTGTTCAATGTCTGACTAGCAATGCATGAGAGAGAATAGAATGCTGTGTTGTAATTGGCAGTCTACTTAGTACATAGTAATGCATTTGTAGGAATGTACTCTTTGATTGTGGACAGCTTTTCTGAAAGACTTACATAGCTTTGAAGTATTTTCCTGTAGTACTGTATTTTTATCATGTACTAAGGAGCAGAAATTTGTGTAGTAAAACAGCTTTTTCTGGATTTTAAATTGTTTATTTTATTTATTTTTGTCTTCAATTGACCTTTAGTTGATTGTAATACATAAACTTTAAATGCTTAAATATAACATACTTCTCATTGTTTGGCATTATTGGGTCAACGGGATTAAAAGGGGGGGAAATTAATGCAATATCCATTGTAACAAAAAGTATGATCATTCTGGACTGTAGTAGAGGATACATTTCTACATAAAATTAATTTGTAATAATGCTTGGAAGTTTTTTTGTTGTTGTTGTTGCTGCTGCTTTTTTTGGTCTATATTGTAATTTTTTGTTTGCATCCCACTGTATCTGTGGGATGTGACCTTTTTCCTAGAAAATCCTTGTTACTGTTTCCCAGTGTATCTTACTTCTTGCTGCGTCTAGCAGTTCTTATCTACTCACAGATAGAAAGGGTAGGTCGGGCTCCTTGATCTGTAGATTCCAAATCATTAACAGGTTGTGCACAAGCAATTCCTTGTTGGCACTGTAGTTGAGTAGTTCATTATATGGATGTGCAGCAATTACAAAATTTTGGGATGTCTCTGGAGGCTCTGGAGTTTCACACGAGTGGGTACAGGCAGCACCAGTGCTTGCAGGCAGCAGCAGCACTGGGAACGAGACACCTCACCTGAACTAGGCTAAATTATAGTCCTCTGAACCAGGGACTCACATGTTAAGTCTAAAATGAAGCTTTAGCAGAGACAGAAGGTTGATGTTCTTATAAGATGTGTAGTGATGGGTTTTTTTCTCATAGGTATCAGTTCCTGCTTCCATATAAAATTAGAAAGAATGAACCGCACACATTTTTTTGAGACATTTTCTGTGCCGCAAAATATATTTAGCACTTAATACTAGTATTAAGGTGAATTACACGTTTTTAAATAGAAAAGCATTCTGTTGTGACTAAATTGCTGGCAGGAGCAGATGACCAAGTGCAGCTGACCATGCAGGAGTTGGTCAGCTCTCCAAGCCATAACATCTGGTTTAGAGTCAAAAATATTTCACAGCCAAATAGTAAAACTTTTATCTTTCAGCCACACACAGTGTTGAACACTGGTGGTGGTTGTATTTTGTGTAGTTCAAGACACCAGTGCTAATGCAGCAACAGACTTGCTTAACCTTACCACATAGAATATAACTGAACACTCCAATACTCAACTATTGGCATGAAAACGGTTATTATTGTTCTTGTTACTAACTTCCTTTGTTGTAGTTCTTCAAATCAAGGTGCACAGTATTTCAGTAGATTCCGATTACTAATTAATTATGTTACTGTTTTATATAAAGAATATTAAGGCCTTTTAACTGGAAATATCAGTATTCCTGGAGAGAGTATGGTTCTGTCTGAGCCTTTGGAATGATACGAATGACACTGAAAATACAGTAAAGCTCTTTTTTTTTTCTTCCAGCATCTGGTAAGAACTTCAGTGTGTAAGATGCATTTAGAGTGGAGCTGGAGAAAAGTATGAATTGCTTAAATGAGCAGTTTCTGCTTCTGAGTAATATGCAGTTGCACTGAAAAAGCTACTAGTATTTTTAAAAGCATTTACAAGAATGCTTAGGAAATGGCTCATCCACTGATTTAAAAACAGAGAGTGCAAAACTTGTTTTATCTGCCCAACTCTAACATTTGCAATCTTACTGCCTTTCTATTTTCAGAAACTTACTTGAGCAAGAACTATTTATTTTAGCTAGAACTTTAAATGTATTAATTTGTTCCAATGTATTTCAGTTTCTGCTTTTACTTCACTGAAATGCTGTTAGGTTCCTTTTGCTTCATTTAGTACAGACTTGGTTTTTCTATGCTCCTGTGCTAATACAGTGCATCAAATTCTCAAAGATAAAATCTGATATAGCTATTCCCTTAGTTTAAAAATACTGAGATTTATAACGGAGTGATTTGGTAGAGCTGGAATTCAGGCTGCTGAAGAACATGTTAGGGTACAACATTCAGTTGCATGCATTTTATTTTATTTTATTTTTGTTTTCATAAGATACCCATGTCCTTCACTTAGGGAATGAATGGTACTTATTGAATCTGTAGATGTTCAGAGAATTTTGTATGGAGTAAATGGATTATGAAAATTTAAAGATAATTGCTGAATCCGGCATTGCATATAGGCTTATTTTTCACTTGGAATTTTTGGTGAGGGTGCCATTGCCAAAACAAAATACCCTTGAAAATACTATATGATCTATGCTTTCTGCAGATCACAGTGCTGTGCAACCTGAGGCTGGAACACTGCCTGAAGAACATTGTGGCACTTCTGTGCAAGGACGGGAGTCTAGGGCTGTTTTGAGCATGGGGTTTGACCTGGTGTTCTGCAAATACTTTTGTAATAACCTGATCATAAGTGTGATTCTTTTTTTTTTATTTTTAATAATAACTCTTCAAAATACATTGTGTAGCTTCTCTAACCAAAACTAAGGCCTATTTGTGCAAGATACTGTGTATATGGTTTAAAAAATCATAACATAAAATCTCAGTTTTCAGAGTATTTCTGATACGAACAAAGAAGTTGAGCCCTGGACACCATAAACATCAGGGAAACTGAGCTTTGGGATCCAATAGCTGAGGCTGTTGGTGACTGGAGGGAGGTGAAAGCTTTGTGGTCAGAAGTTCCTGTTGGCATCACCAAAGACAATGAGGATATAAAAGGTTCAAATCTTGGGTGAAAGGCATTGCAATTATAGTTGTGATTCTGCTAATGGAACTAAATGTGGTTTTGTTGTCATTTTTTTGTAGTGTATTGAGGAGTTTTTTCGAGTCTCTGAAATATGAAGGTCTTTCACAATAGGAAAAGCTATGTTTTCTAGGGAGGAAGAAAGTGAAAAGTCTGCCTCCAGAGATATTAGCAGTATTATGAACAATTACCAAAACCATGGAAGGCTACTTTTTTTCTTTCTTTCATTAAATAATGTGTATATATGTTAGAAAAAATTACTTAGAATAATGTAAGTTAAACTGGTTTTTGTGGGGTTTTTTGAAGTAATTTTCTTGCTGTTTACTTTTTTTCCTTTCCTTCTGATACCATTTCAGAACTTTTTTTCTAAAGCTTACCCTTTGCTTTTTTTGGTAGTTTTTGCACAGGTGACAGAATGGTGAGTGCTTCTTGATTCAGACAATAAAATTTAGAAGACAGTGTCTCGACTTCCATTAAAGAGGGCCTTCTTCATATTTTCTGGCCCTGAGGGCAAGTCAGCGCAATCTTCCTCTGTTGCCTGGTTGAATGCTAAGGAAGGACTGGTCCAGGTTCTGTCTTCTCAAAACAAAATCCCCAAAGGGAAGCTTTTTGAAAAAATCCTTTGCTGCTGCTTTGTTACTCATTTTTGTTGCTTCTTGGTCATTTATATGACATTGTATTAAAACCACATATTGCATGAATAGTTTATTCACTGGTATATACATACACACTCACATACTTACCTGTATCTCTATATTGGTGAGAGTACTTCCAAGTTAAAAAAATCCAAAGAAACAAAAAAACCAAAACAAACGAACAACAAAAAAAACCCAAAACCAACAACCAAAAAGAAAGTCTACCATGTTGTGAGGCAATGGAAACATCCCATAGGACATATCTGGTTACTTTAAAACTTTCATTGAATGTTAAGCAGCTTTGCTGGTTTCACAGCTGCCTGGAGCTGCTTAGCTCACTTGTATCCTCAGACTGGTGGCTGCCCTGCCAACTACTTCTCTGTTCAGCTGACGACTTAGCTGGAAAGTTGGTGTCCTTATGTAGTGAGAGACCTCGGACTTTAGGAGATCCACATGCGCAGGATGCCTACTACATAAGCTGTCAAAACCAAAATGGTTTCTGGGCAACCATCATGCCAAGAAAACAGAGCAACCAATGTTGGCGTTTTAGGTGTTTCTAAGATGAAATATTTAAGAATAGTTAGCATTTGTAGAAGAGGAATTTGAGATTTGGATTTGGTTCCAATTTTCATGTTTTAATGTATACTCTGTGTGTGTTTTTCTCTTTGAACCTCTGTTCAAATTTGGTTTTAGGCTATGCTTTTAATTCTTTTAAATAAATAGTTTCCAGATGTGTTGAATATACTTTTTTTTCCAGTAGTATTTACGGCAGCAACATGCATATAAACACATGAACTGCAATAGCAAAATAACAGGTTAAAAAGTATAGAAAGGCCATTCTACAAAATGTGTAAGATTGTAGTGACTAATATGGCATTTATGTGCATTCATCAGAATATTAGTTATCTTTTATTTGTATCATGAAAACATGCCAGAGTGTCAAAGTAATTTCAGAGTGCTCAGGTGATTTTTTTTCTATAATTTAACAGATAACTCAATGCCTTTTCTGTAATACAATATTATTTCATGTTTGCAGGTTATATATGCTTTGAACACTAAAAATGATGAACATGAAGCTGCTATCCAAGCCCTTAAGGATGCTCATGAAGAAGAAATTCAGCAGATTCTCGCAGAGACCAGAGAGAAAATCTTGCAGTATAAAAGTAAAGTTGCAGAAGAAATGGATCTCAAGAGAAAGATCCAAGTTCTGGAAGAGTCACTGGAAGATCATAAAAAGATGAAACATCAGGCCTTGACAGAATTTGAAGCATATAAGGATAGAGTTGAAGATATGCAGCTTTGTGCAGAAGCTCAGCATGTCCAACGTGTAGTGACCATGTCAAGAGAAGTAGAAGAGATCAGAAAGAAATTTGAGGAAAGGCTACGAAGTTTCATACAGTTACAAGTGCAATATGAGAAGGACAAGCGGACAGCTCTGGAAGACTTGAGAGCTGCCCACAGGCTTGAGATTCAAGAACTTCTGAAGACTCATCAGAGTCAGAATGCTACTTTAAGTAAGGGGCAAGAAAAGCTAGAGGAATTGCATAGACTGGAGCTGGAAGACCTGAACAGTAAAGTTGAAGAGTTAAGGCTGGAAAGGAAAAAACTCATTGAGGACTATGAAGGCAAACTCAGCAAAGCACAGTCCTTCTATGAACACGAACTTGATTCTTTGAAAAGGTCTCAGCTTTTTACAGCAGAAAGTCTGCATGCTTGCAAAGAAAAAGAGGTGGAGCTAAGAAAAGAATTTCAAAACCAGGAGAGTATGCTACGGAAGAACCTAGGAAAGCTTAAAACTGAATTGCAGATGGTCCAGGATGAAGCTGCCAGTCTACGGGAAAAATGCCAAAAACTTCAGGTGGCTCTTGGTACAGCAGAAAACAACGTTCAGGTGAGACTGATGATACATCATTCCCAAGAATGACTTTTCTTTCTCCATTTATGCTGTCTTTCTGAGAGGCTGGTAGGTTGAGGTGATTGGAGCACGTATACTTTTCTGTCACTACTACATGATTATCACCTACTTTTTTAAAAATTTATTTACATTTTAAAATCTATTTTATGTGTGTTATTTTCCTAGACTGAATTAATACTACTTTATATTCCAGTAGAATCTAGAAGCCCCTACCCAGGGGAAAGTTTTGGTCTCCTTTCAGCTGTTCTTGAACAGAACTGGATTATTACAGTTAGAGTACCCAAAGTGTAGTGTGCTCAATAGAATACTCAAACTGTTGCCACTTAAGGAACAGACAAAAACCCAAACCAAACCCTGTTCTCCTCTCTCCAAAGAGAGAAGAAAAAAAAATCTACTCAGTATCTTTGCATCTCCACATAAAGTCATCCCTCTCTCCCCAAAAAAAGGATTCAGAGAAGGAGGGAGGATGTTGATAACTGGTACCATTTGAGATGTTATGCTGACAAACTAGAATGCTTGCTAGAAAAGTTGTGAAACCCCTTATCTAGACTGTACAGTTTCTTGCAGAAATGTATTTGACAGGAATGTTATGCAACTGACGCTGTAAATGCAGTGAATGTTCTGTATTCAGTACAGTCTTGCTTGTAGAATTCATTAGTGACTGTCTTGCCTAAAGATGCTAAATGTTGAGAAAAGTAGCATTGTGGGAGGCAAGAAGAAAAGACAGTTTTGTGAATGTTTTTATTTTTTATTATAACATTTTCAATGATGTTTTTACAAGCAGTAACTGAAATACTGTGCACATTTTCAGTGTGTACTGGTTTGGAAGAGTTCATCTTTTCATAGTAGCTTGTATGGTGTTATGTTTTGGATTTGTGATGAAAAGAGTGTTGATAACACAGGGATGTTTTAGATACTGCTGAGCAGTGCTTACACAGCATCAAGGCCTTAGTCTGCTTCTCAGACTGCCCTGCTAGTGAGTAGGTTGGAGGTGCACAAGAGTTTGGGAGGGGAATCAGCTGGGACAGCTGACCCCAACTGACCAAAGGACCATTCCTCACCATATGATGTCATGCTCAGCAGCAAAAGCTGGAGAGTGTAGGAGGAAGTGGGGATGTTCAGAGTTATGGCATTTGTCTTCCCAAGTAGCTGTTATGTGTGATGGAGCCTGCTTTCCTGGAGGTGGCTGAGCACCTGCCTGCTGACAGGCAGTAGTGAGTGAATTCCTTATTTTGCGTTGCTTAAGTGTGTGGCTTTTTCTTTACCTATTAAACTGTCTTTATGTCAACCCACAAGTTTTCTCACTTATACCCTTCTGATTTTTTCCCCATCCCACTGGGGGGAAGTGAGTGAGTGACTGCGTGGGGCTGAGCTGCCTACCAGGGTTAAGCCACAAGACAGTGTTATTTAGATACTAAAGTTTTTTGTCCTTAAGGAAGGACAAGACATTCCAGAAATACAAAGACTGAATTTTTTTGGTCAGAAAAAAAAAAAGGACTGGTATGCTGGGCTTGAAGGAAAAGATCCTGAGAAATTCTGTTTGGTTTTCGGTAGCTGTGCTGTGGCCTGAAAAACTGTAGTATCTGTGGGTAAGCTTAAGTATCTTGTCTTCTGCATTTGTAGTTACTCTCAAGTTTCAAAGCCAGAATTACCTTAAATGTAGTGGTCATCATAACTTTGGAAGCATCTTTGGGTAGAGCTGAGATGGGCTATTAGCTTTTCTCATTTACAGCCTAATTCCAGCCCATCTTTTAGACTATACTGCCTTCTTGTGTAAAGGCTATGGGGTATAGTGAAAGAAGACTGCGACCTTTATCAGATGTTGAATTCAGAACACCTTTTCCGGTTTCCCAAGGAGCCTTCCAAAAGTCCATTTCCAACTCAGTTCAGTTAATGAAGCAGAACTCTTGCCTTTCAATTGATGGCATCACAGAGCTGGGTTTCTGGCAAGCTGCAGTGAAGAGGAAACCCACTCTATGTTGCTCATTCCTGCAATAAGGGAGTTCTTCTTGATTCCAAAGAAGAGGAAGAGTCTAGCACAGCATTCACAGCAGACTGTGAAGTCAGGTCCTGCTCTGATCATTGCAGACGTGGTGGTCAAAGGCATAATCTCATCACTTCTGGTGTCCGCATTCCATTACACATCCTGTCCAATGTTTTCCCCAATTCTGTTTCCTGCTTTAGTTTCTAAAATGACCCTTTACTATTCCAGTGAGTCAAATTATGAGAAATCTAGCTTTCCTTTTAAAACAGAATGTGAGTCCCTTTTCCTTCCTGCATGGCTAGGAGCACAGCATCATTGCACTACCCCAGAGCTGTTCTTGTGATCATGGTACATCAGACTTAACATATGTTAAGTTTGATTTAACTAATTGCCTGGCTCTCATTTTACGTATATCCACGTGCAACTTAATTTGTGTCAGTACTAAACACACGCAATTGTAGTTAGGGACATTGAAAACTGATGTGAATGTATGATATATAATGTATTCATCAGTTTGAAGCACTCTGAGATACCAGAAACCAGGTTTCTCAGATTGTCTCTCAAACTCTGTAGACCCGTGTTACTGTTCTTGTTTTTCATACATCTTTTTGAATATTGTCTCATTTCTCTTGTATACCCTTGTCATGCCATATATCAGATATCTTGTAGCGCTTCAGGAATATTTTTGGAAAAACATGTAATACAAAATGAATATGATAGCTGTATTCCAAGATTTCAGCATGTGTACGAATGAAACTTGTTTACTGAAAAGTCTCTTCTGTATATTTTCACCTAATGCTTATAGAAATTTAAACATGATAGTATATAATGATAACAGGGATTACACTGTGCTTCCTCTAGGTTCTTCAAAAACAGCTAGATGACGTGAAGGAGGAGGAGATGTCACTGTTAAGCAAACACAAAGAAGTGGAAAGTGAGCTAGCAGCTGCTAGAGAGCGCTTACAGCAGCAGGCCACTGATCTTGTTCTCAAAGCCAGTATGTATGTCAGTAACAATCTGGAAATGAACTTTATCTGTTTATTCTAGCCTTTCCTTTTTCTGTTAACCATTTGCAGGTTTGGAGTGCCCAAAGACTGTTCAATGCTGTTTATAGAAATTTCTGACAAGTTTTGGGTTTTTCAACTGTTTTGATACTGCATCCATTGTATTTAAGACTCTCTTTTTTCTGTACTTATTTGTCTGAATGTGCTACTTTGTATGGCATGTACGTATCATCCAGGCCTTGAAATTTCCTGCCTTATCTGCAGTTGTGCCAAATGTTTCTGCCGTATACCTTCTGTTCTCCACGTAGTCACTGAGACACGCTTCTCCATCCTTTCAACAAGACAGTTGCCTTGTCTTTTTGCTGAGACCAGGGATCCAAGACTGCAAGATCCTACTGCATGTAAATAGCTAAAAGGAATGGGCTTCCTGATAAAAGCGTCTCAGATGGGAATCTGACCCTTCAAAAAGTTATGTTGAGGCACTCAGAAAAATTCAGGACCTTTGGGGGAGGGAGGGACCTGTTCCCATACACTCGTTGACCATTGCTTGCTTTCTCTAAGCAGAAACATGTGAAGGGTTCAGCAGCCAGTCCCAGATTTAGTGGAAACCAATATCCAGGCTGTTCTTCCATATTACTGATGGCATGGAGTCAGCTAGACTATGAGTACAGCATTGGTCTCCTCTGGCACTGAGGTTTTTAATTTTCCCAGAAGTTCCAGTGTGTCCACGCTGTTAGAGAACCCAGTGGCACTGTCAGTGGTACATCTTTGCTTTACAGCACCTCGCTGTGCAACAGGAACCAGGAGTCCTGTTTACAGTGGTGCCACCAAGCCTCTACCATGTGATGTAATTGATTATCAGCCTATTTGGAAGAGTGGTTTTTGATGCTGGCCTTCTGCCATCTCCTTTGAATTTCAGCTCATGCTTGGAAGTCAAAAATCCTGCCCCCTAAAAGCTAAATTCTCATAATTAATTACCATACAAAATATTTATTCGTTGTACTGGAATTTGAGAGCATTGTGTTAAGTCCACTATGGGAAATTAATACATTTTTCTTTCATTTATCCTTAGATTCTGAATTAGAAACGAAACTCCTGGATTTCTTACCTTCTGTGTAGAGCATGAGGAATGAGAAACCTCTGTGTGTTGCTATTCCCAGACAAAAGCTCTCGATCAGTTTGTGTGTGTGTGTGCAATAAAATATGCATGTGCATAATACTTCCTGACAAACAAAATTCTTCTGCAATTGTTCTCCTTGTTACATTCTAAGTTCTGGGTTTGCCAGTGTGTTTCTTAAATGGCTGAACTTTAGAAACAGAGTAGTTTTTGAAATGTTACAGAAGTTAAGCATACTCCTTATCTAAGTATTTTTCTTTGGTTTCTAGTCTTATCAAATAAAAATGCCAAAATTATTCTTAGAATTCTTCAGGGCTTAGTACAATTAGAGGCGTGTATTGTTTATCAAAAACACAACTAATTTTGAAGCGTTTTTCGTGGCCAGATTCCATTATGTATCTCACTGTCCTTCCCTTCACGGCAGTGTCCACAGAGAACAAAGACTAAAATAGTTTCCTTTTTGGCACATGGCTTGCTCTGTCTGTAGATGAAAATGAATTGGGAGGCTCAGTGGTTTTGTCTTGTGTGAAATAGTGATGCACAGTCCGCTTTCTTAGCTCTTTCTTAGTAACTTAAATTGAAAATGAATACTCTTACTAAAACTCAACTAATTTGTCATTTTTGAAGGTTAAAACAAAATGGGGGGGGGAGAAGGAAGGTCTTTTCTAGAAGTTGTGACTACAGAAATTATAATATTATTCTGAGTAAGTAATATATTTTCTTATCTGGATGCTTTCTTTACGTGAAACTGTTAATGACCCATGTGTAATCCTTGACATTCTGTTTAGTTAACACTTCATTTTACCATATGCTAAAAGGCATATTTCAAACATGTCCAGGTCATGCAATTTATGAAAGGTACAATAGTCTTGTTTCTATCAAAAGAATCTATTCTAACATGGAATGTCAGCTTAGGTAGGACTTTCAATTGAACAAACCTAGGAGCATCCTCTTTTCCAAAATGGTCTTCTGTCTCCTCCTGAGCCTTTCCCGGAACACCAGGAGTTTCACTGCTTTAGTCAGTTACCTGGTAGGAGTATTTTCAATAATACAGATATAAACTAAGAAGAACAAAGATTTCTGAAGTTATAAATGTTCTTCAGCTGGTGATGCGAAGGACAGATGATTACACTGTCTAGCTTTGTAGAGGTGTTTGGGCTTTTTTTAAAAAATATATTTAAAGAAATTAAAAGCAAGCTTCTAACCTGCAAGGATTTAGATCGTACTTTATTATGGAGAGAATCAGTTCTGTTACATCTTTTACACATACCCCTACAGCAAAATCAAGTGTAGTTCCTTAAGTTTTACATAGCTTTAGCTGCTATACCTAGCATGCTGGTTAAATGATGAGTTTGATAAAACAATAACATCTTTACCATTAGACTTCAATGCTCTGTTTTCTGTTGTGTAGCTTATCATGGGGTAAAAATGTGCTGGTTTAGGTGAGGTAAGTTCTTCAAGATAGACTGCACATGTTCATACTATTGCCTACCTCTGCTTTCTCTTGGAGTCAGTAAGCTACTTCAAATGGCGAAAATTGAAAGTAATGGAGCCCCAGCACCAAGCGTTCTATTGTTGTTGTACATGTTATAATAAAACTAAAAAAAAAAGTGAAGGGGAAAGTAAGCATTATGGTGAAGATAATGGAGATCCATATGAAAGCTTCCACTAGAGTTGTACTTCTGGAGATCACTGAAGTATGAATGTATACTTCAATTATGTGAAACCAATGCTGTGAGGTTTTAAAGAGCTGTTTTGTTTTTAGGTCACATTGGAATGCTTCAGGCTACTCAAATGACTCAAGAAGTCACAATCAGAGATTTGGAATCAGAAAAATCAAGATTAAAGGAAAAACTATCCCAACTGGAAGAAGAAAGAAACTTACTCCAGAGCAAAACACAGAGTCTGGATGAGCGACAAAGGCAGCAAATTCTGGCCTTGGAGAAGGTTAAACAGCTTATTGGCTTTAGTTGAATAAAAGCAAAAGTAGAATTCTAAGAAAAAAATGTTTTAATTTTTGTTGGATATCACTGGACTGGGAGCAGTAGTAGTATCTTCCAAGTGTATCTCATGTAGCAACATAAAGTTACTAATGTAGAGTGTAAAGTGAGAGTAGAGACAGGTCAGGTTAGATGTTGTTTGGACTGCTTTGGATATCTTTTAACAATTTATAGCCTGTTATCTAAACTGTCTTAATAAGGAGAAATGTGAAATGGTTAAAGAACAATTAAAAAATCCATTCTCTGAAAATGTGCTGAACTTGTTTGAAAATACTGAACTGAAATTTTCTGCAGGCTTGATACCTGATTGCCATTTCCACAGATTAAATGGAGCAAAAGGATAGATTTTAATATAGATATATTTGTTTCGGTGGATATATCGAAACTACCTTTTTGGTTATTGAATCATTTAGTCTGTGCTTAGTGTTTGCTAAATATGTTTTATATGGAAGTTAATTTCTGTAGATTTATTTAATCAGTAATGTTTTTTTTATTTTTCCTCTTACTCTTCAGATTTATTTACCATTTAATAGAAATGGTTATATTTTTCTCTGTCTTTTACAGAAAGTAAATGAAGCAAGGGAGACACAACGTGAATATTATGAGAAGGAGCTGGTAAAATTGCAGGCAAGATTGGAAGGAGAGGCTGCACAGTTAAAGGAGGCTCATTCTAAGACCTTAGAAGAGTTAGCATGGAAACACCATACTGCAATTGAGGCTGCACACAGTAATGCCAATAAGGATAAGAAAAAACTGCAGATGGTAGGTTTGTGTGTTCTTAATAATCAAACATATTACAAAGAGAAAATGTTAGAGTTTGAACCTTGTACTGTGTAGTTTTGTTGTATGGCAAGTTTTATTTGGAGTTACCTGCAAATCTGCTGTGCCTCTGAATAATCTGCTTCGCCTTTATTAAAATAACATACCTTGCAAAAAAAAAAAAGAGCATTTGTACTGTCATTTGTCTGCATACAGATGAGAAATTCTCAACTGAATACAGCTTTTCTTTTGAGTATAGTAGGTGGGATTTTTCCAGGTTTTGTGACCCATATTCAGAAAGGTTGATATATCACTGAGGATCAGCTCTTCTGAAGGAGATGAAAGATCATGTTACTCTAATATTTATTTAAAATTTTCATAAACATTCAAGAAGTGCAGAAAGATATTATATTAGTACTTGGCTATATGTATACTCAGAAGATGACAGCAGCTGTTCCTAACTTACATCATAAAATTATGCTAACTGTATATCAACCATTCATTTACCCTTGACTGGAATCCTGAAACTCAACACCTTTTTTGTTTCACAAAATTGGGCTTTTCTTTGTTGGGATAAATGAGAGGACAGATTTTAAATTACTATTTCCTAATCTCATTATACAAAAACTTTGCCTTATACAATAAATACAGGATAAATATTAATTGTTTAACTTAAGGCATTGTTATGCTCCTCTGGTGTGTTCACAGGAAACAGTTGTAGTGAGTGGTGTGCATCTTAGACTGATTCCCCCCCCACCCCCCCGCCTCAGTATATTATTTTACTGGTATATTGCTTCTTAGTTTTATTTTTAATAAATGCCAAAGGTTTTCATGTCTCCCTGTAAAGGAGGTAGTTCTCTGAGACATACATCTGACCTTTCAGGTATACTTTCTTTGTAACTTTAAACATGCCTGTTATTAATACAATGTCACTTAAGGGTTGCTGGGAATATTTTTGTTTTACTTCAAGATGTGGGAGTTTTTGTTTTGTTTTGTTTGTTATTAAAATAATGTAGAGAATAAAACATTAGGTTTTAAATAATTAAATTAGTTAAAATAGGGAACATCTCTAAATGTGAGAAATATGAAACTTGGTTTTAGCAAGGGAAAATTAACTATGAAGAGATGTCAGGGTGAAGATCTCAGTAAATCAGTGTACTGTCTCCTCTGTCAAGCCTGTTTTGCTAAGCACATCTTGTGGTGTTTGAGTAATTCAAGGAAGAAACAGTCAGACGCAAATGTGAAAAAGAGTTGAATTTAGTATGAGGAAGCATGGTACAAAGAGCCTGGGGATAGAGAACATGAGGATTTATTGGGACTGGAAGACTGGGAGAGACATCTGGGGTTTGGAAATCTGTGGGAGAAAAAGTGGAACAGAAGAGAAAATCAGAAGAGAACAGAAAAAATGGAACAGAAGAGAAAAGGAAAAAAAGAGAAAAAAGAATGAGAATAGGACTGAAGAAATGACTTAAGTATATTTATTTGCTTCAATTCTTCCATGTATAAAATGAGCTGTAAAAATGGCATCAGTTCATAGGAGGATTATGAAAATAGAGCTGCTAAGAATTTTGCAGTACTGCACAGCTGTACTGACAAGTGTCATAAAAAAACCTAATTACTCAGTGATCAGAATAGGGTCTGAATAGCACGAGTGAAATTTTGCAGGCAGCAGATTTCACAGTGCAAACGAGAAAAATTGAGCAATTTTCATTTAGCAAGCACCATTGGCACGTTGTGATTGATCTGGGCCTGGTGAAGAAAATGTGTACTTGCTGAGTTAGGTCATGTAGCAATGTTGTGTTGAAAGTGTAACACTTTGTTTTGTCACCCCATCCAACTTCTGTCATGAGTAAATACACACAAATTATTTATTGCCTGTTGCATACCCTAATGGAGTGCTAGAACTAACAAGCTACTAAGCTTAATGTACTTACTACCCCCAGGAAAACACTTGAGGAGTCTCTGGTTTTGAATGAGGAAGGGTTGGCCTCTTGCTCCCAGAAACGGGCTGGATGACACTAAGTTGCTGTCTTCCAGGTCCCTGGTTTTCCTTGGAGTTTTATACCTTTTCATGACAGGTTTTTTTTAACTTTTGAGTTCCTGAGTGCTTAATTCTCCATCTCCACAGTCTTATCAGTGTCTGCAGTTGTACTGTTTATTTCATGCACAGCCCTCCTTTATGTATATTCATAGCTGTTTCTGAGATCTTACTGATTTCTCAGAAATCTGAGCCCAGGGCTACACAAAGGCACTGAATCGATGCTAAGCCTTGCATTACACTTGAACCTCTAGGAAGGGATCAATAAAGCAGCCTCTGTACCTAGAAAACCTTGAAGTCTTGTATTGCCTGGCTCTGGAGCACCTTACTGGGCAACCTTAATTTTCTTCGAGAAGACTTTGTGGTATAATAAATTATATAGATATGCCACTGAAATATATAATAAAGCTCTCAATTTTAACATGTTTCGTGTTAAGTATTTTGTGACAGAAATTGTTCTTCTGAAAATATCTTCTGAATAGAAAAGAAAATAAAAATTCTCACAAACACACATACAACATAGGCTTATGTAAGAGAAATGTAATTCATCCAGCAGAGTTGTTTTCAGAATTTGGGTATTACTTCACAGAAGTTAAATGAAAACAGAGGTGTTACTGTGTTCTTTACGTGTAGTTGAACTTGAAGACTAATTGTTGATTTCTGTTGGTTCTACATAAATTTTATCAATATGATGTGGGGCTTTCTTCTGTTTATTGTAACAGCCTGAAAAACTTTCCAAAGCTCAGTCTGTATTTTAAACTTTACTATTTTCTGTGGGGATTCTGTGTAGGCGATAGATGGGTAAAGGCTAAAGGATAAGCATATTATCAGTATAATTTTATAAAAAGTGAACACTTCTGCGTTCTGTCAGCTCAGACTGAAAAACTGAAATTAGATATAGTTTTAATGATTTTGATAATTAAGTGCAAAGTGAAATTAGTTATTGAGAAGAAAGTCCTGTTTATTTTATGATTAATCAAGCATGCTAGATTAGAAAATAAATTGAAAAATAAGGCATCCATTGTAAAAGGAAATAAATGTTCCTGTTTTAACACTTTAAGGAAAGGACAATACTTGGTTGAGATCAGGAACATTTATGCCAGGAGGAATAATTTTGATATGATGCAGCTGTACTTTGCAATGACTGCATGGCAAATATTTAATGTTTCTTCCATCCTTCTTATTTCTGAAGGAGCTGGAGCAGCAGTTTGAGAAGGAGAAACTGCATTTGGAGGATGATAAGAACCAGCTCCGACAGCAGCTGGAAAACCTGAAGGAAGAGTTGACGACAAAGCTGACTTCTGCCAATCAGGAGGCAAGGGTTGATTTAATTGTATCGGCTCATGGTCCTGTGCATTAAACCACATTTCATAATGATCTTGTGCTTAGAGTCCAGTACAGAGCTAGGAGTGTACTGTTCAGTTAGTGTCTTATTTCTGTTTAAAGTAGAGTATTCTTCAAACATAGGTTACTTGACTGCTTCTGAGCACCGATTTTATTGTCCTGTACAAAATTAACAAAGCAAAAGAGATTTGAGTACAGAGCAGTCACCATAAACAGCCTTTCTTATTTTAACTCTGCTTATTTTCCCATTAGGTACACAGACGTCTACAAAAAATGTATTAGGAGGCAGAGGGAAAACTAACTGTGTTTAAACCTGTATTTGTTTACAGTTAACATATTGTAAATTCTTGTCGGCTTCCTGGTATTTCTATCAAAAGATGACATGAAATACTTACTGAGGGGGAGAGACACATAACGGACTCCAGACAACTCTATGAGAGTTATAAAGTGAAGACCTTTATTCTATCAGAAGCTCTGCTTTTATAGTCTAAAATCCCTTAGTCACCCTACATAAACTTTTCTGTTGGTTACATATGTGTCCATATTGTCTAAGCTAATACATGACTGGTTACTATCTTACACACATGCCACCGCCCACATACTTTTTCCGGTTTGGTTTACATCCGCTTCCGGATGGTTTACTTCCGCTTCCGGGTGGCTTACTTCCAGGTCATTCTCTTGCTGCATTGCCATACTTACTCACTTTTATGTTCCCACATCTCCCCCTTTTTCTTGTTCTTGAGCAACAAATATTGCCTGTGCAGCCTGTTGCAGGGCCCTTCGCAACAAAGTCACAACACATGGCAACATTAGGAGCATAACCACAATTATTAATAACCCAGTTTTCAACAGAGACAATATCCATCCCAAAAAACCCCATCCATTAAACAAACGATTCAACCAGTTCCAGCTATCATCTACTTGCAATTTCCTTACTCCATCTTTCAGAAGTTGGATACTTTTATGTATCAATTCTGAATGATCTGATAAATTCATACAACACATTCCTTCAAAGTCCTCACATCCATGCTCTTGGGCCAGTAACAGAAAATCTATTGCAGCTCTATTTTGTAATGTAGCAT